AAAAAAAAAAAAAAAGTACAAAGAAATTTGTGTTTTGTTACAGCATTAGTGGTAGTGAAAGAGACGGCTTTCGTTTGTGGCGCCGGTGATGACCGTGGTGGTCTTATTGGTAGTGGTGGTGGTGGATTTTGGGCCAACATTTCCTTAGTCTGCAAAAATGTCAAGTTTTAACCCTTGAATCAGGGACTCTCCTTATAGCATTTCTTATTAATGACCCAATTCTCTGCAACATGCTCTGTTTGCCTTTGTGCTCCTTGACCTCATGGAGGAACTTAACTCAACAATATATATATATATATATTGACAATAGAATGGATGTCCATAACAATATATATCATCACAGTTAAAAAGTAATAGCCAATAGCAGCAGTAATACAACCACACATTAGGTTTTAATACATAAATAATAAAAAGAGAAGTCATTGGAAATCCAAATATAACAAACATGACAAGCACACCAACATGCCAACTAATAAAAGAAAAGGAAAAAAAAAAAAGAAAAGAACTTCAAGTCTCCAACAGCACAACAGGCACACAAGCATCACCAACAACTTTCATTTGTTTCCTCCAGCTTTCATTCCTGTTAAATAAAAAACATAAAAAAATAAATAAAATAAGAAACACTAAGATGTAAGAAATGTGTTAAAAAATGAAAAATGAAAAACAAAATTCTTAAAGATGCATGTAAAAAATCATATCAATTATCACACGAGTGACACATGTGAGGTGGGTCAGTCCAAGATTGTATGATTTGTCATCAGAAAAAGAGGCCTCTTTGAGGATGATGGTGGACAGAAGAGGAATCTCAGCAACTTGGAACCTGATTTTTAGGAGATCTTTATTTGCTTGGGAGGAGGAATAACTGGAAAGACTCATTACCATATTGAACTCCGTCTTACCTTCCTTTTCAATTAAAGAGGATAGCTTATTTTGGAAGGCTTCCCCATCAGGTCAATTTTCTGTGTCTACAATTTAAAATAGGAATGCATCTAGAAATAGCATTGGGGTCACTAAACTGCTTTGAACAATATTACACCACCAAAACTGCAATTCTTTGGTTGGTTGGCTTGGAAAGGGAGAGTTAAAACAACTGTTTATCTTCAAAGATTAGGGGTAATTGGCCAGAATGTTAGTGCTGAATGCATTTTCTGTAAGGCTGAAGTTGAATATGTGAATCATGGTTGATGTGGTGTCCCATTATCTAGAGGCTTTGGTCGAATCTTATGAATTGGTGCGGTTTAATTTGGGTAATGCCTGATAAGGTGGTTGGTTACTTGAGTGGAGGAGGAGTTTTAAATGGAAGAAGTTGGAAAATAAAATTTGGAATGCCATATCACTAGCAGTAATGTGGTCCATTTGGAAACTTAGAAATGAGTGCATCTTTAATGGAAAGCAGATTCAGATGGAGGAGCTTTGCGAGTTGATAAAAGTAAGAATTGCTCTATGGGTCAAAGCTCGCTATAAGGACTGTAGGTACTCAGTACATGACCTGTTTCTAATTTGCATCAGATTAGGTTCTCATCTACTAACCTGCAGCTAAGTTAAAGAATGAGGAGCAGAGCTTCAGTTAAAGTGTGAGGAGCAGAGCATGAGGAACAGAGTTTGCGCTTATTTGTGTTCCTGCTGCTGATTTTGTGCTCACTACTAATGTACTGATGTATCTAAGTGGGCTGATGATATTGCTCTATGTCTGTGTTGTTTTGTGCTGCCTTGTGATTGTTGAGCTTGGTGTTTGGACCTGCTTGGGGGTGGTGGTGTTGTTTTTATTTCTTTGAGTTTGTTGTTTTTTGTCTCCTTTTGTTGGTTCCTTACCAATTTTGAGACTTATGCTAGCAAGTGATTGTGTACAGCGACGGAACTAAGAAATTAAATTAGATGGGGCACTTATTAATTATAATATTAAAAAATTTTACAAAAAATATTTCACATAAATTTTACGATTGACTTAAAAAAAGATAAATAATATATATATTATTTGTAACTAGTATATTATGGACAATATAAAATAAAATAAAAAAAGTCATGGATATAAGTTTTAAAAAAAATTATATAACGATAAAGTAATCTTTTATACAAAATTTCAATAAAAATTTAATATAATAGTAATACCACGTCATCATTGACATATGATATCACCAATTAATATTAAAGAAACACATAGAGGATAAACCCCACATGTCAAATGTAACTAACAATTCAATAAATTTCATATCTTCATTAAGATTAATTATAATTGTATGTCAATAATGATAGACATCACATCACTATTGTATTGAAATTTTCATAAATAATAATATGACTTATCGTAATATCTTTATTTTCAATAAAAAAACAGCCATTATTATTCTCATAGTTTTAAAAATGTCATTGATATTTCACTCTAAATAATATTTTATAATTTTTTTTATTAAAAATATTTTCTTTATGTTTGCAAAAATAAATAAATAAACCAAAAACCCAGGGGGGGCACGTGACCCCCTGGCCCTTGAGTGCCTCCGCCCCTGCTGGTGCTAATCGTGCTATGATTGAGACTTTATAAATTTTTAAAAAATTATTCAACTTATTTGGTTTCATTTTTTTAAAAATACTTTTCAGAAAATTTTACTTTCTTATTTTTTGTATTTTTTTATTTTT